GGGTGGATAGGGCATGAGAGTACTGCTATTTGTTATCCATATTTTGACACTATTTGAATTTTTTAAAAATGGTGCATGTCTTACTTACTGAAAACAATTAAAACTCAATTTTAAATGTTTCCAAATTTAATAATATTAAAATATTCCATATTTTTTCCTGTGGTCTTTTCTCAAAATATGACATTTTTCTCAAAATATGACATTTCTCCCCTTTTCCATTCTAGAGAGGAAAAACAGTTACTTTTTTATTTTCTAATCATATTAATCATTCAATGACATATAATTACCCAATTAGGAATGCTGGTGGCTCAGTGGTTAAGTGCTTGGCTGCTAACTGAAAGGTTGGCAGTTTGAACCTGCCAGTGGCTCTACAGGAGAAAGATATGGCAGTCTGCTTCCATAAAGATTATAGCCTTGGAAATCCTATGGGCAGTTCTACTCTGCCCTTTAGGGTTGCTATGAGTTGGAATTGACTCAAGGGCAAAGGGTAATTATCTAATTATTTAGACTTTGTCCAAAGAGTAGTCCTAAAAATGTGGATCTTGTCTTTAATAATTTGTTAGGGTAGTGAGTGTAAAATGCTTAAAATAAATTCTCTGGGACTAAGTTAGGAAACAGAAATTCTTTATCCTTTTCTTCCCAGTGGTGGCTCTAGCAGGAAACTGAAAAAGCTAGACCAGAGGCAGAGATGTTTGGAAAACCAGCAGATGTTTGATGGGATGCACAACAGGGAATCTTTAATATGGTTGAAAGAGGAAGAAAAAATAGGATTAGTCTAAATACTTTTCTATTTTACAGCTCTTTTCTATGAGGATTTCAAAGTCAAGAAGAGTAAGTAACCTCATCTACACATACATCACTGTAATAAAGCAGAATAGTATTTATTCCATCTATAAGTTCAGTAAGAGACATGTTATTTAGAGAGTGTTTTTGTATTTCTAACCTATGATTACATAACAATCTATGTCTATTAAAAATTCTTAGAGAATCTAGGGTGCTTCTTTAAGTTTAGGAGCTCTTTAAGGTTAAGATTGGGAGCTCTGATGGTACTGTGGTTAAGGCATTGGGCTGCTAACCAAAAGGTTGGCAGTTTGAACTCACCAGCTGCTCTGCAGGAGAAAGATGAGGCAATCTGCTTCTGTAAAGATTTATAGCCTTGGGAACCTTCTGGGGCTGTTCTACCCTGTCCTATTGTATCTCTGTCAGTTGGAATCAACTCAATGGCACTGGGTTTGGTTTGGGTTTTCTTTAAGGTTACTCCTAGGCCTACTCACTCCTCTGCCTCTACAGTCAAAGGGAGTCTATAGATGCAGTTTGGCACATGACTGAGATACAATCATTCCATCAGCATCACTCACCATTTTCCAGCAATGTTTTCCTCTGGGTGATGTAGCAAAGCAGGAGTCAGTATAAGGATCTGCTTTCAATACAGCCTTCAAAAGAGACCTACAAAAGAGTAATAAGATAAAAGTGAACAAGATAATGCATGTTGCGGTTAAGCTGCACTTTTGTGAGCCTGATGACTTTTAAAATTACATAAAAGAATGATTTATCAATTCTTAGATAACTATCTAATGTGAGATAACCCGGTTTTTTAAAGTTTTACTGTTCTGACAAAAATGTTACACAACCTTCGAATAAAATTTAAAAATCATACTATGAAAAAATGGAAGGACATGTCATAATTTAAATTCACAACTTGTTTCAGCAAACTTCCTGATTCATTAACAACAGGGTCTTGGTAACAGGAAAGAATGAAGTTTTCCTCTTACTCAAGTATTTGGAAATCTCATTCTTTAGTAGTTTGTTACAGATATTATTTAATTTTTTTATCCAGTTAACCCTGTTTGGTTACCTTTTGACTCAAGTCAAATACACTATTGTTAGATTTAGTCAATAACTGGCAACTGCTGATTAACAGTACCCCCTTTTTCTTCTTTCATGTGGGTGGCCTAGGAGTTAGATGGGTACAGACGGGAGGCAGTATCAAGTGTGGGCAACAGTCCGGGGTATAATTCCTGCTTAGTCTCTTGGCTACACACTTTGGCATGCCACATAAATTTTCATGTCTATGCCATGTTCCCCAAAACAGCACTGCTTTATTTTCTTGTGAGGAGGATGGGTAGAGTGGGCAAGTGAAAAAATGAAAGGCCACACACGTTGCTGTTCTGTACATTGTTTCATATTTTAGCAACTTCTATACCATCCTTTATTGGATAGTACCCATAGCCAGTAGTTTTCAAAGCATACTGTAAAGTCATCATGGCATAGCATTTGCTATTATTTTTATACTTGGGCCCAAGTGTACAATCTGTTGTTGTTGTTATGTGCCATCGAGCTGGACCCGACTCATAGTGACCCCTCCTTGGGTTTCCGAGGCAGTATTACTACGGGAGTAGATTGCCTTATCTTCCTTCCCAGGAGTGGCTGGTGGGTTTGAACCGCCAACCTTCTGGTTAGCAGTCAAGTGCTTTAGGCACTACGCTACCAGAGCTCCTAGTATACAATCTAGGTGGAAATAATTAAAAAATTCTTTTCTTCTGAGCATAATTTAAATTTCTCATCTTACTGATAACCCTCAAACAGTAGAGAGTAGGATACAACATTGTAAGTTCAAACGATTTAGTGGCACTAAACTGGTCACTCAATATTGAATGTTTCCCTTGTACTGGACACTGTGCCAGGAACTCTAAAAAGGCACCAAACAATGCTTAGAATCAGGGCACCAGCCATTTTTACTTGCTGACAGAAAGTTTTTGTCTAAAGAAAAGGAAAAATATATGGCAAGGTTGCTATGGATCCCAGTATAAAACTAAGTAAACAAAACTGAATTTCCTCATGTTTATATGGGGGAAGGGAAAGAAAGATTGAAAAAAAAAAAAAAGATACCACTTAGATAGCATATGGTAACAGAATAAAACCGGCTTTCAGACTTCTTAGTTTGCAGTCCATCTCATTCCAACTGCAGAGTCCTTCCCAGCCCCACCTCTTCATCTTCCTCTAGATCTCCCTTAAGTTTCCGCCAAGATTTAATCTGTAAATCTAGGAGCTCTGGTGGTGTAGTGCCTAAGACATTTGACTACTAACCAGAAGGCTGGCAGTTCAAACCCACCAACAGCTCCTTCAAAGACTGGGCAATCTACTTCAGTAGAAATACCGCCTCGGAAACCCAAGGACGGGTTGCTACGTGTCAGATTCGACTCCACGGCAGTGAGTTGTGCGTTGTTTTTGTTTTAAATTCATGTTACAGATTTCTAAGGATACATTATGCACTTTAAAGGGATATTCACGAGTAGGGTGTTAGGAAAAAGGATTACAAACAGCCAGAGAAAGCAATTTTTCAAAGATTAAAATAAACAGGCAAATTGCCTTCCAAACAGACTTGTAACAGCCTGAAGGCCCATCAATGAAGAAAAAGCCCCTTTCTCAGTAACTCATCCTAACCCTCTCACGTCAGACGTGATAAGCATTGTCCTCTGAGAAGGACCTAGCAATTGCTGTGGGGTAGTTCTGGTAGCATAGTGCCTAAGGCACTTGTCTGCTCACCAGAAGGCTGGCGGTTCAAACCCACCAGCCACTCCTCGGAAGGAAGGTTGGGCAATCCTACTTCTGTAGTGATACTGCCTCGGGAACCCAAGGAGGGGTCGCTATGAGTCGGTGGCCGACTCCACGGCAAACAACAACAGTTCCCCGAATAGCTTCATCTTCATCCGCCCCGGTTTCGTCAATTCCTAATAAACAAGAACATTTTTATGGACTACAAAATAATCACTCCTGCTTCAGGTCCTCACTTTTACTGAAGTATTTCTAAAAGGCCGAGAGTTATACTGTTAAAGACCCCTTGCAGAGCCACCGATGCCGCACAAGCAGATCACACTCGCCGAATCCCGGTGTCTTGCACAGCTACCCACCTACCCGGGGCTCCCCAAGGCCGCAGACGCCCCGCCCCTGCCACCTCCGTGCGTCTCATTGGCCAGGCCCCAACACCGCCTCCGCCCCTAACTGGCAGCTGCGGCTGTCAGTCTGCGCCGCAGGGACATTTCCGCATTGGGGGGGCGCTGCTCCGAATGGAGGGGGGATGGGAGGTGTTTAGGAGAAAGTGGGGGCTTTGGGTGTCTGGAGACACTAGTTAGGTGGGCTGAGGGGGTCAGCAGCCGGGCTGCGACCGCTGGCAAGGGGCTCAAGTTTTGCACGTGTAAGGTGAGAAAGGTTCCTCAGAGGTAACAATTTCTCCCAGCCTGCGAGCCTTCTTTCCGGGGCGCCGTAAACGCCCCCAATTTCCAAGCTGTTGAAGGAAGAGGAAGAAGGTGGGTCTCGCTGGCGGTTTGGGGATGTGCTGGGACGGGCTTCCCGCATCCCCCTGTGTGGATGTTATTTTTTCTCTGAGGTGTGTAGAGTTCTCCTTTCCTGACCAGCTGTTAAGTCCCAAATATAGAATTTGGGGTTCGGGAGGGCGCAGGGCAGGAAGAACAAGGATGTGTGGAGCTGGGTCGGAGCCCTCGCTGGCTCCTGGCCCTCGGACTCTGAGGCCCGCGCGCGGGTCCACCCAGCGCCGGCGGCTCGAGAGTCCGCTGCGGGGGAGGGGTGATGTAGCAATGGGCAGCTGCTGGGAAAAAAGCCGCGGCCGGGCTCCGCAGCTCGCAGCCGGAAAGCAGGATCTTGAGGCCCGGGCCGGACCGCCCGCTCGAGTAATTCTTAGCGCCTCCTAGTCCCAGGATATTTATGGGCTGGTAAAAATGCCGTAGAGGTGAATGCGCTGCCCGCTTGCCGGGCTCACCCGCCTCCCCGACCCTTGGTTGGACCGGGGCTTCTGTTGACCGGGGTTTCCTGGGGAACAGGCCGGTGGCCTGAAGCTGGACCGTGGCGCCTGGGAGGGGGCGGCCCGGGGTGCGGCCCGTGCCTGCTGCCTGCAGTCCTGCCCCGGAGGGCGTGGGGACTTGGGGGGCGGTGAAATAGCCTTCGTAGATCCGCCTCTTTCATTGATGAAATTTAAGTTCGCGTGGTTTTATCTTTTCTGGGAGTCTCCAGCTAGCTACCAGTGTAGGCAAGAGTTCCTAGTCGACTCAGGCGCTCCAAGTTTCCGTCTTTTGAAGTGGGGGAGGAGTGGCTTTCCTGGGTGTATTCCTTTTTTTTTTTTTTTTGGATCCAGTTTTAATCGCTTTGAATAAATACTCCCTTAAGTGGCTAAACATTGGAGGAGAAAGAACACGACGATTGTTAAAGCAGGGGAGGAAGAGAGACCTGTCCTATATATAGCGTGACTTCTCTTGAAATTAAAAAATATATATTACAAGCCAGACTTTTATTAAAACCCTAAAATGTCGAGATTTGTACAAGGTAAGACATACTTCTTATGTCCGGGGTTGCTTCAGCCTAATTTGGGTACTGGTAGTTGAGTTTGGAAGGGAAAATGTTCATTTGAGATAGCACTTGCGAAACCCTTTTCGTTAAAATTGATATCTGAGCTGCGATGAACTGCTGGCTTGGCGTTTTAGATACATATAATTTATGCCCCTATGCTCCTCTGGGTTTAGTTCTCCCTCCCTGAAATTCAGCTGTGTTGCACTCTGACTCCTGGGATAATAGTTGTAGATGATGATAAAACAGGCTTTTGACTGCTGATTAATTCCTGTTCTCTTTTCCTGGTGGCTGACAAGGTACCGGAATCAACTCGATGGCAGTGGGTTGATTGGGGGTACTTGTGTGTGCGCGGCCAGGAAGGGGATCCGGGCGGGTTGGGGGAAGGCAGGTGGGTTTTGCTGGGACTGTTGGTGAAGCAGTAGTAGTATTCTTAGTTTCTACTCGGTTTGTGTGTACGTGGTTTGAGTCTTAGATTCATTTATTGCGAAATCGGGAGTAGCCCATAGAGGCTGGAGGTCATTTCAGCAGGAGAAATGACTTTGCTGCATTGCTGTGTATTTTTTTTTTTTTTCTTTTTTGAAATCTGGGAAGATTACTAAAGTTTTTTTGAAATTTGAAAATTGACCTCTGAATCCCACATGTATATTTAAAAAAAAAAAAAATCTTAGGGGATGTCCCTCAGCTGAGTAACATTGCATGTATGTGTAAGTGTATATGTGTGTGTGGTGTACACATTGAAATTGGTGCTGCCTTAGACTTGTGTCACTAAGATGTGGCATAAATTTTGCCTTCTTCATTGTAAGTAAACCTTTTCTTTGCACACCCCATCGTGTGAAAGCTTCAGCCATCTTGCTGAACACAAGGGCTAATAAAGTTCACAACCAGTTCATATGATTCTCAATAAATATAGATGTACTTAAAAAACAACAAAAAAAGTTGTGTCAGTAACGCCCATCTTACTGGCCAGTTATGTCATTTGACCCTAGAAATAGAAATGCCTTGGTAAGTCTCATGTCACTTTGTTAACTTTTTAAAAAATTTTGTGTAATACATTAAGAGAATTTGCCTGCCTGCATTATTATAGAAACAGATGGGACACTTATGCCTGCTTTTAGCACTAAACTCAGAAATGTCACTTGTCATTAGACTTTCAAATTCATATTACAGCTTATATGTGGTGAGAGATGTTTCTTCTGTTCTAATTGATAAATGTCTTATTCAAGAATAGAAAGCCAGAAGTAATTAAGAAACAACAATAAAATCCAGTTATCATAAAGTCGGTATTTTGCAAGAATGAGCTAAAGAAGAGTGGACTTGTTACTTCTCTTTAGAAGTTAAGAATATTAAACTCAAGATGTTCATTTAGTTACTCTTTAGCATAACTTGCAGCATTCATGCATATTGACTGATTTCATAGCCTCTGCTGTCAATGGCTAACTGTGGATTCTAAATCTAAGAGTTGTATCTGTTTGTCATTCCAGTGTCATTCACTTTAAAAAAAAAATAACCTTATTGTGTTGGAATAATTTTAGACATATAAAAGTTACAAAGATTTTTCCTCTAGTGTTAGCATCTTATAGGCATTTGCTAACCAGAAGGTTGGTGATTCAAACCCATTACCCACTCCACGGGAAGAAGACTGAGCAATCTACTTCTGTAAAGATTTACCACCTTGGAAACCCAAAGGGGGTCGCTATGAGTCGGAATTGACTAGATGGCAGTGAGTTTAGGTTTTTTTTGGTGTTACGTCACCTTAACAAATTTGTCAAAACTGAGAAATTAATGTTGGTATGTTATTATTAACTAAATTATGACTTTATTCACATTACTGTTCCAGGATCCAGTCCAAGAGATCTTATTGTATTCATTTGCATCCACTTTTACTTTAAATGGTATTTTAAACTGGCAGCTTTGTACAAAAGATGACACCCCACCCCCAATTTAACTTGTGTTCGTGTTTATCATTGTTTAAATTTTGTACTTCATGTGTTTAAATTAACTCTGGTGCTTTTATAAATGATACACCTAATTGGCTCATGGCTCAGCTATCTCCACAGGTCAGTTTTCAACTATATGGGTTGGGATTTTTGTTTTTGATTTTTTTTTTTTTAAACCAAATCAAATTATTTGATCTTTGCTGCAGCACTTAATGATCTGTCCACTCATTAGCACTTAGCTCATGATACCTCATAGGGGAAAGATTAGGCCTCTGTTTTCATACACTGTCTCATTTAAGCTTATAAAAGCCCTGAGGTAGATTTTTTTAAAAAAATTACTTAAGAGGTAGATTTTTATTATGACTTTGCAGCTGAGGAAGGTTAAGTATGTCTTGTCCAAAGTTCACAGCTCCTAAGCATTGAAATGCATTTATGAATGTGCCTAAAACTGTACTCTTTGTAATCCCTTGTGTTGTTGCTCTTACATGAAAAACTTAGATAAATGGCTTGTTTCTCTAACTAGACTGCCAGTTCCCTGAAGGCAAAGATGATATAGCCCTGGGGGAAATACAGTGTCTTGTCAGGGGGAACACTCAAAGAATTTATAATTGATGACAAATAAAAAACAGACAACACAGTACTTTCTGCATACTTTTTAGCAGGCTGGCTTATATTTTTGGTTGGTTTTTTTGTTTTGTTTTGTTTTTTAAATGAAACATCTCTTAGATTACATTAGTCACCCTGATGGCACAGTAGCTGAGTGCTGGGCTGCTCACCGAAAGGTCAGTGGTTGGAACCCACCACTCACTCCTTTGGAGACAGATGTGCCAGTCTGCTTCTGTAAAGATTTACTGTCTTGGAAACTCTATAAGAGAGTTGGTTCTACTCTGTCCTATAGGGTTGCTATGAGTCTGAATCAACTCAATGGCAGTGGGGGTGTATGAAGGATGGAAGGGCATGGACTGAAGTTTGAATCCTGTTACTAATGGGTGATCTTATACATTTAACTTGTCTGAACCTCAGTTTCTTCCTAAATAAAAATTAGGTATTAATTCATATAGCACAGGGTTATTGAGAGGCTGTAATGAGTTGAATTAAGTGAATGCTGGACACATGTTAGATACCCAGTAAATTTTACTTTTCTTAAAATAATAGTTGCTTTTTAAATGGCATTGCCACCAGAAGTGTAACCACATATCCTCAACAAAAATAAACAGAAAGTAGGCAGATAGGACAGTTCTTGTTTTCCTGCTTCAAGTGTGGTGTTCAGGACTGGACACTGGGGAGTTAATATGTTTTTTTTTTTAAAGTGCAGGGGAGTGGTAGGAGAGGGGAAGCTAGAAAGTGGTATGAATACACGTTGGTGACAATGTAGTCAACAAAAAAATTTTAAATGCTTAAACTAAGTGTCACACACTTTGTAATGGATTTTCCGGTGTATCTCTTGCAGTGGAGACTTGAAGTTCAAAAGATCTAGGTGTAATAATATACCTGTGTGTTATATACATGTATTGATGAATGCCATGGAACATGGGGTTACTACTCTTGGCTTGACTTTCTTCCCCCAAATCTAGGCAATATGCTTTATAGGAAAGCTGGGCTTCTCCCTCCTTAAGCACTTTGACATAATAAGCTGGGTGGTACAAATGGTTAAATGCTTGACTGCTAGCCAAAAGGTTGGCAGTTTGAACCCACCCAGAGGTGCCTTGGAAGATAGTCTTGACAGTCTGCTTCCAAATGGGTTGCACAGTAGCTGTTCTGTTCTGCCCACCTGAAGTTTCCATGACTGGAATCTACTCAAAGGCAACTAACACCACCATTAGGTAGAAATGTTCAATTAATAAAAATAGTTAACTAGGTAGGCAGGAGGGTTCTCAATATGTATTCTTTGGCCAAAGAAGGTTGAACTTTCTTTGGACATTTACCCAAGTCTGTGTTCCTTGGGCACTTAAGATTCCTTCTCTTAGAGGACCCATCACTGGATCTTTGGCATAATTCCCTGGCTGGTATATACTCTGCCCTCAGGTCACCTTCTTCTTGCCTAAGAGATTACTTCTCCAGAAGCTAGTTTTTTCCGTCTCAGGGGTTGTCACAAAGCCCTTGTTGCAAGGCCCCCAATTATTCTAAATAAATATGTTTACCATTCTTTCCTAGTTGAGTGAGAAGGGATATTTGACACAGTTGGAGATACTGGGGAACATCATTATCATGGGTGCTGTTTGAGATTTTGCTTTCGAAAAGTTCTGAGAGCTGTGGAGTCATCTCCCTAAATGTGGTGAAGCTTGTAAATAGAGTGCTAACTATTGTCTAACCAGCTAAGCCCAGGTTATATGCTTTCATTGTAATATTAGAAGGACTTGTTTTGTTTTACTTTCTGGCACTGTTGTTAATAGACTATTATCTATTAAATAACGTAAAAAATTATTTTCTTACATTGAGATGTTGTTGTTGTTGTTGTTACTTCCATATATTTCAGCGGAAGCCATTTAAGTGTGTATCTTTTAAAAAACATTTCGAGACCTGTTAAGTTTCCTATTTATGTTGGAATTCTCTTTTTGTAACTTTTTTGGTGATTCCTGCTTGGAAGATGGCAGCTAGCCAGGAAAGATTAGCTGGGCTAATTATAACTTGAGGGGTCTCAGATGAATACATAGATGAGTAACGTTCTGGGGCCTGATTGTCAAGGTCAGGCCTTAGCCTGGTTCTTCTCAAATCCTAAGACCAAATTTAGCCTGTTGCTGATTATTTGGATGATTAGGATTGCTTTTAACCCAGGGCATTCGGGCAGAGATTTGAGGTGGGACAAAAGACAGCAAAGTAGTAATTAAGTCTCATCTCTTGGTTTTTAAAAGATGTAGCTTGAGATTCATTATGTTGTTAGAGATGAAGGAATTTTAGTTACATTCAGACTCAAAATTATGAATGTAAACTTAGAAAAATCAAAGTGAAGAGTTGGGCTGATAAACAACTTTACTGGCATTTTTCCCACCACATGAACTCTCTAATCTCTGTGGTCAAATTGAGGAGCTGTTAAAGCAT